GTAGAAGTATTGTATACGCCATCAGCGACTGATACGTGTACTGCTGCTTGTCGTACTGTGTTCCGTGCGTTGGGTATGGCAAGGAACCGTCGAAGAATCCGAGGATTTGCGCGCCTTCCATCATCAGCTCGAACTCGAATGACCAGGCATAAAAATCCTTGCCGTTGAATGGTGTTGACGTTTGCAGTCTTAGAACGTGAGCAAACTGCGACTGTACTTGAAGTGCGTCCAGTGTCCTTTCTTGTCCAGGTGGAGGCTGATTCGGCATGAAGCTGGTGGAGCAGCGTTGAGGCTCGTACGGAGCAAATGTAGGTTTTTTATTTCCGCGCATATATGATGAGCCGTCAAGACTCATTGGAGTGGCGCCATTGTTGTTGTCGCTGTTGTTTGATTGCGCAGGTGCTGCTTGCTGGTGCTGCTCGTAGAAGGACATGAATGCAAAGAACTTCTCCATCATGCTTGGGTCGAAGCTGGTTGTTCGATTCGCAGGAGTTTCAGTAGACTCAGCAGCTGGTCTTGTCGCCGTGCCATCCTTTGTCTGTAGGCTAGAGGCTGGAGGTGGAGTATGAGTAGTGCCGGGAGATCCGTTAGAGGAGCTTCTTTCCTTCTGTGTTGCCATGCCTTCTGTTATACGAGTTCGAATGAAGTTGGATCTTGCCTTGGAGGCTCTCATACCATGTTGGGCTGAGAAATGCCCTTAGGATCTGGCTATGACCCTGAGTAAGAATGTTGATATTGCGGAAGCGTTCTTAGTGAACTATTGAACCACCTCGCACTAGTGTGTGAGAGCAAGAGATTGGTTATAGCAAAGTAATACAAGGTTTTTTTAATAAGATTACAGAGAATACGAAGAGATGCATTTTAACTGTTTTGTTGCTGTTGCGGTTCGATACAGCAACGACTCGGGCAATTGCTCAATACCGAGTCAGTTGTGTGTCCTTGCTGTCGCGCTGCCTTTCGTCAAGTCAAAGGTCGCCGACCTTTGACCTCCGCGTAACCTCCAGCTGTTACTTTTTGTCAACCTCCTTGGTTGACTCGGCATTTGCTTCGCTGTAACGTGCCTCGTTTCTAGTTCGATGTTCCGACACATCAGAAGCATTAAATTACTTGTTTCCAACAGAAACGACCTATCTAGCAATGTACTCTAAGGGGTACATTCCTTTTAGAATGTTCTTAGTAGTGCCTAGGGTTTGAGTGAAGAAAGGAAAAGGGGCATTCACTATAGAATTGTGGGTACAAATAGGAAAGAGAAGGTGGCACAAGGGGGGGTACACCACCAAGAGAGAACAAGAAAATACACTACCTAGTGTACATGCAGTTATATATAACAAATATAACTTCTAACATCCCCCCTTAATTGCATGCACAAGTAGGTAGTGAGAGGCAGGCAAGTGAGGAGGAGGCGAGAGGAGAGGAGAGAAGAGGAGAGGTGGGGGTGTGCAGGAGCGCGCACGCTCAATGCCCGGGTACCCGCTTATGAACCTCCTTTTACAAAGGGGGAGGTGAGAGAGGATAGGGAGAGGAGGTGGGCTAGGTGGGCATGAGCGCGCACGCTCATAGCGATCCCCCCCCCGTTAATAACCTCCTAGTCCTCACCCCCCTTTTCAGTCAACCCCTTTAACCTCACTCCCTCCGCACCTTTCTACGTCCGCCACCCCCTCACCCTCCTTAACCTCTCTCATCCCCCCTTAACCTCTCTCTCCCCCCCCCCCCCCACACAGCAACAAGTGCTGCAGGGAGAGAGGTAGAGGCAAGGGAGGGACGGGTTGCTGGCTGCTCACACCTGCCACCCCCACATCCCCCCCCCCCCCCCCCCCCCCCCCACGGCGGAAGCCGCGGAAGGGAGGGCAGGGGGCGGCGGCGTGGGCCGCTGCTGGCGCTCGCGAAGGCGCCTAGCGCTGGTGTCCCCACTGACGACGGGCGCTGGCGCTTGGCGCTGGCGTCTACGTCAGGCGCTGGCGCTCGTGCTGGCGCCTGGCGTTGGCGTCCGCGAGGCGACGTGCGGGCCGCGGGTCGACGAAAGGGCGCGGGGCGACGTGCGGGCCTCGTGGCGACGAAACGGCGCGGGGCGACGTGCGGGCCTCGTGGCGACGAAACGGCGCAGGGCGACGCGGGGGCCGCGGGTCGATGAAACAGCTCGGGGCGACGCGGAGGACGCGACTGGCAGAACGGGCAGAGCGCAGGGCAACGAGCGCGACAGGCGCAGGGCGCGACGGGACGAAGAAAAATGGCGCATTTCACGCTTTAGTGGGCGGGCCCATGTTACTTTAAGAGAAAATTAGGTCCTTAGACCGTTTTTCTGCTCTGTACCATGTTAGCATGTTCTTAGTTATGCCTAGGGTTTGGGTGTTAGGCAACTGTCGAGAGAAGAAATGATAAGGGACTATAGAATTGTGGGTACAAATAGGAAAGAGAAGGTGGCACACAGGGGGGTACACCACCAAGAGAGAACAAGAATATACACTACCTAGTGTACATGTAGTTACATATAACAAATATAACTTCTAACAATTCCCTTATTACAGCGAAACTCTACCGTGCTACTCCAGACAGTTACAAAACTGTCGGGGCAGAATGCTCGCCACTCTGCTGCCCGATGCTACCTGCCGGACGGTCCAGATCCTTTCATAACTGTACGACCCTTCGCGTCACTTCCGCCTTTTCGCATTCAGCCTCAGTACTGCATGCTTCGATTTGCTGCGGTTAGGAGTGCACAATAATGCTTCATTCATTACTAAACGTAATAGGCTACGCCACAGGCAGTTATATAGAATGTATGCAAATATATTCCAACACATAGCTATGGTAGTCACTACATCATCACGTGCCTTCATTGTATTTTCAGGTAATTCAGTCACAATTCCATATTCAGTTTCCACGCAACTATGTCTTACTACAACTCATGACTGAGCTTATAACAGAAGGGATGGAAATTGCCTGAACTGGAATATTCATTATCTTGTTGACTCCACGTTTGGGGGCTTTTGAATATCCCAAACCTGTGTTGGTGCGTTTGTGGGTTGTGTGTGTTCATGATACAGTGACGTGAGAGATGGGACATCCAGGGCTCCACCTCCACATGTTCGAAGCTGTGCAATCACCGAGTTTGTCGGTGGGCACGTGCCATCGCTGACTCGTCACCAATGAGGAACTCGGCGGTGCAGTTTAGATTTTTTTGCTTCAATCGTTGGGTAGAAAACCGAGAGTGCCAATACAAGTTCGGGGTTATTCCCGCGTACAATTTATTGGTGACGACGTGTTGAGACCCAAAGCGGTCGGGTCGACGACTCCCCGATCCCTCATTTCTAGGAAGGCTGTTTTGCGGAAAAAGCTGACCAGTTCGACCCAACCGAATTGGGTTGGGTCTGCCCGAACGGGTTGACCAGGTTGGGTCGACTAGGTCGACCCAACCCATCTCAACGGTTTGCGAGAAGTTACTTTAGCTAACGATTTGTAATATTTCGCTCAGGTCTCGTTTTACAGTTGCGTACCAATGAAAAATCCAGCGGTTTAAGGTTTCTGCGTAACCACTGGTTTAGCGAGTAGTTGTCTCTCGTCACAGCTCGCCTAACCTGCAAGGAAGCTGGATGCCAATTGCGCTGGAGGTGCTTCGACGGTGTGCCGAAATTTCTCCAGAATTCTTTGTGGTTCCGAGCTGCGATGGTCAGGTCGACCTGGTCGACCAGACCCAACCCAATATTGCTGGGTCGCAACACGTCGTTACATTTTGATGCCCGAACCTTCATAGATTTGCTGATCTGTGTGAATGCTGACAAGGCACACAATAGCGAAACACTGGAGGTTCGGAATATCTGACACCTGAATCCGAAGCCAGAGATCTGGCTCGACGAAGGAATATTCCTCCAAACCTGCTTACTTCGCGTGCAAAATCGAAAGTTGATTGGGCTTGAGTCGTCGAGCCGCAAATGTGGCGGCTGCTTATCTGGTTCAGCGATACTCATGGAGGGAGCCAGGTTAGGGACGACGCGGTGACACGCTTTGAGGTGAGTCCTTACCAAACCATTTTGCTGCTCCTGTCTCGGAGTTTTCCTCAAAAGGAGATAGGAACTCTCTGAACCCTCATCTAGCCCAGATCCCAGAACCCCTAAACTTCAGCCCGGCTGTCGGGCACTCAAGTAGAATCGTGCTCTGAAGTTTGGCCCGCAAGATTCCCGCAATGGCTGTCACCCTCCCTATACACTCGTACACATGGGTCTTCGTCATGACCATGCTGTTCGCGTTCTTGGATGGCTACTCCATTGGTAAGTTCTTGTCAGTTATACCTTTCACCCTTGCATTCATTGTTCAAGTCCGTCCAATGTTAAAGCGCTGTCTTGGTGTTGTCCTCAGGTGCCAATGACGTCGCCAACTCTTTCGCGACGTCGGTGGGCTCGCGGTCCATCACCCTTGCACAGGCTGTCCTGATTGCGATATTCACGGAGTTCGGTGGAGCGATTGCGCTGGGTGCGACCACAACGAAGACCGTGAAGGACAGCATCATAAAGACCTCCTACTTCAGTTCGCGGCCAGATCTTCTGATGTCGGGCTTCCTGTGTGCCCTGGTGTCATCCTCGTCGTGGGTCATGTTCGCGACGTACATGGGTTGGCCCGTGTCGACCACGCATTCCATCATCGGAGCACTCATCGGCGTAGGCATCAGCGGGTACGGCTTTGATTCTGTCAACTGGGGTTGGGATAACAAGGGCGTTGCGCAGATCGTGACTTCGTGGTTCGTGTCTCCAGTCCTGGCGGGTATCCTTGCGGCTATTATCTACCTGATAACCCTTCACGTGGTCATGAAGAGCAAGAACTCCCTAAAAAGGGGCATTTGGGCTATTCCTATCTATTTTACCATCACCACTTTCATAGTCTCCTTCTATGTTGTGTCGAAAAATGGCCAAACCACCCTGGAAATTAAGCCGAAGACGACGGGCGGGAGTCTCCAGGTGACAGGAAATGTCGGACTGGCGTTCGGTATCATTGGCGCCATAACCGGGGCAATGCTGATCTTCTGTGCTGGCTTCCTGGTGCCGTACTTCATTCGCCGGCTGCAGAACGAGGAGACGCTCCAGTGGTACCACATGTTCATCATCCACTGCACGCCCACGCAGCCTCAAGACCCCAAGATCGACCTGTGGCTCAAGCGCGCGTTCACGCCGCATTTGCTGCAGGACGACGAGAAGCGCGAGCTGGGCATGGAGGTGGACGACGCGGAGGACGGCGCCAAGGACGAGCTCGCGAAGCCGCCGTCGAAGAACCTCGCGGTGCGCGCATTCAACAAGGTCAAGACACTGCTGTACCGGTCCATCTTCATGGACGTGGCGTCGGTGCAGAAGGACAACCACGGCGCCGTGCAGGCGCAGGAGGTGGCCGTGGTGTACGACAACAAGACGGAGTACCTCTACTCGCTGCTGCAAGTCGTCACAGCGTCCTTCGCCTCCTTCTCCCACGGCTCCAACGATGTAGCGAATGCTCTCGGCCCCCTGGCTGGCGTCTACCAAATCTGGAGCGAAGGCGTCTTCACCACCACAGCCGAAGTACCCCGGTGGATGCTTGCATACTCGGGGATTGCTATCGACTTTGGCCTCGCCCTCTGTAAGTGACCAGGTCTTTACAACCTGTTGTTCCGCTTTGCCCCAAACCCTCGCGTATCTCATCCGAGCCCATCTATGCGTGTCCATGTCGCAGATGGCTACAACATCATGCGCAACCTCGGCAACAACCTCACCTACCAGTCACCCTCGCGCGGGTTCTGCATGGAGCTCGGAGCAGCCCTTGCTGTCATCACGGCCTCGTTCCTGGCGCTGCCGGTCTCAACCACGCAATGCATTGTTGGCTCCACTGTCGCTGTCGGCCTGTGCCACGGCAATTGGCGCGCCATTAACTGGGCGATGGTTGCTGTGGCTGGCTTCGGTTGGCTGCTTACATTACCACTGGCGGCAACTGTTTCTGGGCTTCTGTTTGCCCTCCTCACCCGTGGCCCTAGCTTCACCCTGCCACCTGGCATGAGCTAAACGTTAGGTCAATAACCTCACCTGTTCAATGGTGTCTGTACCCTCCAGCTATTTGACGAATAGGAGAAGCCAATTGGATCACCAACGGATAGATTGCTGATTGTGAAAGACAAACCAGGAGTCATGCATTAAATCTGAGGGTAAAAAGCCAACACTTGTATGTGCTACTGGCTGACAGCTGGAGATTGACTAAACATTTGAAGGGTCGAAACTTGAAGATGGATAGGATATGAGTCAACAAAATGCAAAGATCTTACAGTATTCTCTAGTACTAAAGCCAGTCACTCTTCATGAACAGTGGCAACGAGGAACCTTGTGCTCACAAACTTTATGTCTTCACCATATACTTGACCATGGCCCCGCGCACCTTCTCCATAAATTCAACTGCTTCCTTCTGCAGTAAGAGCACACACACAGTTCAACATGGGCACCCACATGAGTGTAGCGTGAAAAGACCCAATGCGCAGTGCAGCCCATAAGCGGAAGGTCGCTCCATCCATAGATATGAAGAATTTATGTCTCGAGTGATACCATTATCGCAGCTCCAAGATTGGAATTTGTGCTCTAAACAATGCTGGTCACTGGCTCAGCAGGTAGGACACAACTGACTAAACATAAAGGGGCCTGTGTAAGCAAGAAAAGGGGACAAGAGTCAGAAAAGGGAGGAAGAAGAAAATTTTCGAACTCCGGAATCAAAAGTGAGACGACGGGAGCAAGAGGAATCAGCATAGGAGGGAGGAGAGAAAGGAAGGCAGGAGAAACGGACAGGCTCTCGCACAATGAGAGTGAAGGGAGGGAGGGAGAGAATGAGGAAAAAGGAAGGGGAGAGTGAAAGAGAGAGTAGCGGAAGATAAAATAAAATTAAGTTAAAAATATCTCTTTGAGCTAAGCCAGTTTAGCTAACCATGGAAAAAGAGAAAGAGAGGGGACATGAGAAATGGGAGGACGGAGGGAGGGAGAGAGGGAGAGAGAGAGGGAGAGAGAGAGGGAGAGAAAGGACAGGAGAAAGAAGTAAGACAGGCAGGAAGGCAGGGGAGGTAGGGGAGGTAGGGGGCGCTGACCTGGTTGGCAGCAGTGGCAGCAGCAATGTTTTCATCAAGCAGGGTGAGCAAGTCCCTATCGAGCTCGTTGCTGGCTGCCATGGCCAGCAGCTCTGCCCGCTTGTCCTTGGCTGACAGCAGGCGGTGCAGGCGCTCCCTTGCACCCGTCATTGCCTTTTCCAGGGCGTCGTAGGCAGCTGGAGCGGAGGGTGGATGGCCAGGCAGAACAGGATGCACACAATTAAAATCGCATGGCATGCCAAGGGAGATCTCAATGCTTGCTGATCGGTCCATACTCTTCAAGCTAAGACGGTGCTGGAGAGATGAAGAGACAGAATCGCCACATACTAACCATGTGACTGACTTGACAACTGGCTCTCACCACTGGGTGGCATCTGTGCCATCACCTTCCTCTCACTTATTAACTCATGTAACCACTCTTGTTACCTGCAACCCCAACCTAATCCCCTCCGCACGCAACCTCAGTTACCTCACATATTGCACCTCACCTATGCCTGTAAAAACAAGTATCGAGTCGAATACGAATACTCATTTTCGAATATTTTGCGAATAAGTGGTCAAAATCGTAATTGACCGAATACCTTGTCAAAAGTACTGCTCTAATCACCCGCCTCACCAATTCCCTCCTGCAGAACCGTCTCCAGCGCCTCAAGCTCCGCCAGCTTGTCCGCATCATCCGCACTGGGCCGTGCCGCAAAGCGCAGCTGCCCCATGGCCGTGCGCAGCGACGTGAAGAAGGCGGGCGTGAGGCGCGGGCGGCAGCGCGCTATCTCGGCCTCCATGTCAGGGACCTCCGTGGAGAGAAAGAACTCTATCAGCCCCTCGTCCGTGTCCGGTACCACTCGGCTCTGCACACACACACGCAGTCAGTCCAGGTGGCATGGCACAGCATGCAGGGAGATGCGGACAGACAGCCAAGGCAAGAGGAGGGGGACGGGTGCAGGCGCAAAAGATAGGATGATACACCGAATGAGGCACACATAAACGGTGAGTGAAATATGAACTAAGCAAAGGTGAAATAGATGAGTGGAAAGCCAAAGGTTGTGACTACTCCTTGCCTCAGCTTGCAGCAAGTGCTCCCTGCGCACAGGACTGCTTGTCAGTCATTGATTGTACTCATGGTCGCGAAAGAGGAGCGATAGAGAAAACGAAAGAATGCGAGGGAGAGAGGGAGAGAGGGGGAGAGAGAGGGAGGAAGAGAGGGATGGAGAGAGGGAGGGAGGGAGGGAGGGAGGGAGGGAGGGAGGGAGGGAGGGAGGGAGGGAGGGAGGGAGGGAGGGAGGGAGGGAGGGAGGGAGGGAGGGAGGGAGGGAAGGGGGGGGGGAGCGAGAGAAGGGTTGGGGGTGAAGGGCGGGTTGAGGGAAGTTTGAGGAACGCACGGCGCGCGCCTCCCTTCTCCTGGCGGCCTCTTGTTTAGCGGCGGCTTCCCGCTTGGCCCTCTCCGCCTCCTCGTCCACCATCTGGTGCTGCTGCTTGCGCCGTGCAATGTGCCCTGGCTGCGGCGGCGCCAGTATGCCCTCCGGGTCCTGCCGTGCCGTCCAGGGGAACAGCGGTGGGGGAGATGGGAGCGGAGGGGGAGATGGGAGCGGAGGGGGAGATGGGAGCGGAGGGAGGTGTTCAAGTGCGCCCATGGGAGCAGCCCGCCAGAAAGAAGCATGCAGTTATTGGGCTTAACGCGTGTGCATGAGATTGTGGGGATGCGTGTTTATATGCGAGTGGGAACGAGGAATGGGGGATACATTCAAATAAATGTATTATAAACACTATGTATGTATATTTATGAGTGTGTGCGGAGTTTGAAGGAGGGCGCACCCAACCAACGGCCACGACGTGGAGCGGCGGAGAGCGGCGGGTTCGTGGGCGATCAGCGCGGGGTAGGCCGAGCGGCTGAATGGAGGGCATGCGCAGGTGGCAACGCGAGGCGCAGGCACTGCGCGGATGTAGCGTCCACGATAGGCAGGAATGAAATCAACTCGTTATTCAGAAGCCGACAATGGGAGACGTTGCAGGTAGGGAGAGCAGAGGAAGTAGGTAAGGGGGCGGGCGGGAGTGGGTTGAAAGAGATAACAAAAGTAGGAACAGCCAAATATGAAAGATTTAAGGGCGGGATCTGAAGACATGGCGGATATTCATCGCAGCAGTTTCATCGCCAGTGATAGCGACGGTCCCCAGACATTCGACCTCCTGCCATCGCCACCTGCCATCGACTCGCTGTTGCTCCACGATCCGTGCGACTACCCGTGGAACTGCGACGAATGCGCGAACCGCGACGCAATGCGAGCAGCGCGCGTACGCGTACCTCAGTCGAGATAGAGCAGCACATGGCGATGCTGCGGACGCCTGAAGAAGAGTCGGGGACGGACGCACAGATTGGCACCACATGCTGGCGAGTTTAAAAGAGCTCGCAAATTTCGTGTTTACGCGCTCCTAAAGCTTGGGGCTGAATTGGTTCGTGTCGCACCTCCCAAGCGAGTTTGTCAGGAACGTGAGTTAGGATAGTTACTAATCTCCACTGGCAGGACCTAATCGTCGTCGGCTTGTCCGTTTAGATATACGGACCCGAAGCTCAACAAACATGGACAAAAAACGCGCCCTACCACAAGCATCATGCAAAACTCATGAGCCAAACCTTTTCTGCAGTGCCCAGTGGTCACAGCACTACGTCCTACGGAGATTCTTTGGCCGTAAGAACTGTACTGCACCGTACTCCACTCCCAAATTCAACCCTACTGACTAGCACAGCAAGGGAATCTTTTTTGGCGCGGAAGGCTGGCAGGGATTCGATCATTCGATGCAAGAAACTTTGTTGCGGTGGATCGGGCCATTCACCACCGCCCACGTGGACAAGCGAACCACACAAACGGCTGTTTTCGGTGCGGGCAGTTCCCCATCGGGCAGTGGGCAGTGCACTTGAGCAAGCGGGTTTTGAATCCAGGCTTTCCTTCCGCACGACTTCGGGAAACTTGTCTCGTCTGCCAGCCACACCTTTCATTCATCCACACCCTGTCTGGTCGCAGTCGTTCTGTTCCGACGCACCCTGTACAGTCGGTGCCCATTTCAAAAACACCAGGTAGGCGGGTGGCATGTGCGTGAAACGTGTTTGAGTTTTCGCCACGTTCGCCCTTGTCGCCACGGGCAAAAATGTGTGTAATATGAAATTGCACCGTGAATCAAGTCAAGGGCTTTAAATTCGTAACCAGGTTAACTTCTTTGATGACGGGCAACCGTTGTTGTTTATGTGCTTTAGATGTTTTTCTTCCTCAACTTGGTGACTGTACCCTGAAATCGGCACAATGGTCAATTTAGTCACTCACGGGCAAAACGTTCGTGAGTGACTAAATTTCTAATTGTAAGGAGCAAATGTTTTGTGATAGGCTGAGCATCGACTCTAGTACTCGTCGGCTGCCGTCCAGTGCTCATTTGTCACCTCCTCCTCCGCCCAGTTCCTTCGCCTGACGTCCTCCACCACGCGAGGTCCATCCCAAAACGCGGGGGTTTCGTTTCTTACCACCTGGCAACATTGGGGTAACATTTCGGTAGGTTTTCCAACACCTACTCCAAAGATTGTGGCCAACATTCCCTCTCGTAACTTTGAAATGACTCGGCTTCAACAGAAACTTCTCGGAATCTAAACCACTGAATCTCAGCCGTTAATCTCATTTACACCCAAATCTTGCTTTATCGTAACTTTGAAATGACTGACCAATCGGAGCTCGTTACTTGGTCTGCAGGGATGGGCTACCGCGGTGAACCCAATCGCCATCGACTTCATCGTATTGGTTCACGACAGATTGTTCTTATTCGTTGCGACATCAATCCGGCGATTACATGGAGTCTACCTGGTTACGATTCTAGTTACGCATACACTCAAACGTAGAATGCAATTATCCTATGCGCATATCGATAAACAATTGTTACGGCGCTACTACGTTACTTTGTTACTACATATTGTAACAATACATTTTAGAAATTTTAATTTTACCGTATACGTGAATCATAATTCTTAAACCAATTTTATATATTATATATTTAATATAAATCTGGATATATTTCCAGATTAATATGCACTCGTTTTTCAGCAAGACGAGTGCTACAGTAATAATTGAGGACCTTCCTCAACTGCTATTACCCATCAAGCACCACGCCATACTCAAATATCATCCAGACCCTCCTGGCTAATAAAAACGCCACAGTCCGAGCGCGAAAAGCGCCAGGCATTGTTGGCACTGTCCCACCAGGGACCCGTAGCATTGGTGCTCGTGTCGACTGCGTCTCGCGCCCAACGTCGCACGTTGTTGTGGTACAGCACAACACCTTCTCTGTTCCTTGTCGTGATGTGGGGCAATTCTTCCCCATGTATGATCTTGTGCTCTACCTGCATGGACATAAGGAGGCATTGATGAATTACAACTAGTATGCGTTACACTCAATTCAGAAAAGGACGTTACACTCACTCACCCCATACAGCCAAAAAGCAATCTGTTTGAGCTTCAGCACAAGGACATCCTCCCCATCGCGGCGGAAAGACGCCGCAATCAAGCGCGTGAAGACCAGGGCCTATTTTTGGATTTTAGGTACTCTGATTTCCAGAGTAGTTTTTTTCCCAACTCTGAAATCTAGGGTTGTTCCTGCGCCTTACTCTGATTTGTCAGAGTAACCCTATACTTTCAAAAAAAAACCCAGGCACGTCAGAGTAATATTTTTCTCTACTCTGATGTTAGTTAAGTTTGGTGTACCATGACCTTAATAGGTTTTTGTTACGCCTTTTGTACTTGCATTTCCGCGTCGCCCACGTTTCCCCCCTCACTGCGATGTTTCAGAGTGAGGTGTTGGCGGCACCGATAATTTGACTAAGGGCGTGTCCGAAGTGAAACGTCAATAGATGTCGCTGGATGTCGGTAAATGTCATCCCACGGATCGACAGTTCCAACCGTCAGGATTTACCAACATCCCCAAACGGATGTCCACGGATGTCGACGTTTCACTTCGGACACCCCCAAAGAGCGTGTCTGAAGTGAAATGTCGACGGATGTACAGTTTCGTCGGGGAATGCTGGCGAATCTCAACCCTCGGATTGAGCGTTCCGACCGTCAGGATTCCTCGACGTCCCTCAAAGTTTCGTCGGGAAACGTCGACGTTCACTTCAGACATAAAGAGAGAGGGGACTGGCTGGCATCGTGCGCTGGTTGGGAAAGTTGTCAAACTACGGTAGCCAATCAGTGCTCATATTGCCGCCAACACACGACAGAAATCAGGAGAATGATCTCGACGATTCGGGGAAAACCCGCTAAACGCAGGGGGAGGTGGGGAGGGGAGGGGGGCGGGGGAGGGGGGGCCGGCAGGTATTCCCTATACAGAGTAAATTCGGTCCCCGAAAAAAAAACCCAGAGGCCTCAGAGTAAACTACAGCATAACTCTGACAAATCAGAGAAATCGGAAGTCCCAAAAAAATTACCTAGCGGGTACAGAGTTGAGAAGAAACGAGGAATGAATGAACTATGAATGAATTCGGTACAAGTACTAACCCTAATTGGGTTGTACCCCTTATGGGCTACCCCACTATAGCCTACACAATATGCATGAGCTATATATGTTCTGACACACCCCCATAGGCAAAGTGGGGGAGAACAAGGGGTCACAAGACCAGTCAAGCAAAGCAAAGCAAAGCAAGCTCAGGGTGGATCACAAAGTCACCACACATTCCGAGCACAAGTTCAAGGCCACAAGGCCAGTTCACATGCAGGAGTACATATATATAAAAAGGCTAGACAAGCAAGAGCAGGTATATATATATGTAACAGTACAAGCAAGGTCAAGAGGTGAGCAAGTGAGGCAAGGTAGGCACAAGGCCCAGCTGAGTACAGAAGCGCTGATGGTCACAAGGTGCAAGCGCCTTGGTGAAGATATCAGCAGTGTTGGCCTCAGAGGCCACGTACGCAAGACGCAGCTGACCACGCTGCTGCAGCTCACGAGCAAGAAAGTAGCGGAGAGCAATGTGCTTCGTTCTGTGCTCCAGTCGCTGCTCCCGACACAAGGCCAGCATGGCCTTGTTGTCTACGTACAGCACTGGAGGAGAACGAGGCGGCTCTCCGAGGTCAGTCAGCAGGTAGGTGAGCCAGCGAAGCTCCTGTGCAGCCATGGCTCCTGCGTAGATCTCAGCCTCACAACTGGAGCCGAGAACAGAAGACGAGCGAGTAGCCCGCCACGAAACAGAGCCGGAACCAAGGCTGAAGGTGTAACCCTGTGACGACCGCTGCGTAGCCTGGTCGTCAGCCCAAGAAGCGTCTGCGTGCCCAGTAAGGACCACTGGACTCTGCCCTCCAAGCACAAGCCCCATGCCCGACGTACTGCACAAGTAGCGCAACACCCTCTTCGCTGCAGCCATGTGCTCCGGTCTGTGTCTCCCAGGAGCAACATAGCGTGCGAGAATGCTAAGAGGGTATGCAAGGTCAGGTCGTGTGCAGGTCATCAGGTACATGAGGCAGCCAACAAGCTCTGGGTACGGGCCACTCGACTCTACGGACTCATCCGAAGGCAGAGCTGAGAGCGAGTGGCGAGTAGGCAGAGGAGTGGCCTGAGGCGAGGAGTACGTGAAGCCGAAGCGCTGAAGGACCTGCTGCACCATGTGTGACTGAGTCAGGGTAATGGTGCGGCGTGCTCTGTCCCGAGTGATCTGCAAGCCAAGGTAGCTGCGCAGTTCACCCAGGTCAGTGCACGTGTGTCTCTTCTGCAGCTCGGACTTCACGTGGGCGAGTCCAGCAGTGTCAGCTGTGGCAAAGACCAAGTCGTCGACGTACACGAGGATGTAGAACGGCGGCAAAGAAGTGTCGGTGCGCAGAAACAGCGACGGGTCGGCAGTAGAGGGAGCAAACCCAAGAGCCGCAAGTGTAGTCCTCAGTGTATCGTGCCACTCACGCGGTGCCTGGCGGAGACCGTAGACTGGCCGCCGTAGGCTCCACTAGGTGCCAGGAGGAAAAGACCCAGTGAAACCAGGTGGGCGACGCAGCCAGATCTCCTCGTGCAGGCTGCCCTGCAAGAAAGCAGTACTGAAGTCAAGAGAGTGTAGCTCGTAGTCACGGTGAGCAGCTACGTGCAGCAGTACCCGAAGAGTGGTCATCTTCGGGGTGGGAGAGAAGGTCTGAAAGTAGTCAACTCCCTGCCGCTGACTGAAGCCACGAGCCACGTAACGCGCCTTGAAGACAGGCGGAGAACCCGGCGGTCGCTTCAACCTGAAAATCCACATGCCACTGACGATGTTCGCCCCAGGAGGGGGAACAGCGTCAACGTAGGTGCCTGTGGACTTCCAGGAAGCCATCTCTGCGTCCATAGCTGCCTGCCACTGAGAGGAGTAGGGACCCTCTATCGCCTCCGCGTAAGAGCGC